GCCTGACACGAATAATTGTTTTAGTATAATTGCTCTTGTGCTTTCAAATTGTAAATTTGTTTGTTTGTTTTTTTTTTTAACAATGTTATTATTGTTTTGATTGCACATACATGTATTAAGATAAGCAGCCAATCTCCACAAAAAGTGTAACAGGTTTATTAAATTCCATCCAAAAAACTTTATATCTTTCTATTGTAAAGTGCTATGCAATACTTAGTAGCATCTTTTGCACTCTTCAGAATTGAATTTTCTTTTGTCATTTCCCTGCTTGATCTTCTGTAACACTGATAGAACACACAGCAGCCAATTTTACACTTAAATGTCCCTGCACAAAGTGATTATAGATACACCAAAATCCTTGACCAATTAGAGTGCACGCATCTCTGTAATCACTTGAACAAATATACTAATATCAGATATTGATCAGTGAGTATAAAATGTATTATTCACACCAATCAGATTGCATAGGCTATGTTCCTCACACTGTTCAGATTTGTCAGAGTAACATTGTTGCTCACACCACTTAGAACTGGTTAAGGTACATGTTTCTGGCACTGATAGGATTTGTTTGGGCATGTTTCATACTGTCACTTGCATCAATTGCAGGTAGATTCATATCAGCATCATGCTTGCACCCATTAGGTTCACAAAAGTGTTGCTCACACCCGTAAAATTTGTTAGTGTATTTTGCTTACAGCAATCAGATTCTATAGGTTACATTACTTGTACTTACACCTGAATCAGATTTAATAGAGCAGGTTTTTTCATTGCTCCCACGAGTTACACCGATGCAGTTGCGTCTGGTGCATTTTAAACAAGTTCTAAAGAATTGTTGCCATGGTTAGAAGGCAGCCATGCACATTTGTGTATCATGTCAAGATGTTAACCTGCAGTGAGTGACTACACTGCTACTGTGAGGCACTGTGCTACTGCACGGCAAATGCTGTATTGGTTTATTTTTGTCCTGTGGTTACCCATTTGGTTATTAAGTTAAGATTTTTAATTTGTATTTACTTTCTGCTTTACGTGCTTTTTCAGTTACTTTGCTTTTAGAAGCCACCATGTCATCCATTCATCCACCCATTCCATGTGTTTAAATGGTATATATGTTGTTACTGATTACCTTTTATTAGACTTTGCTCATTGAAGACTGCTTTTTATTAGAAAGCAGAGTGAGTCTTGCAACCAGTCTACCAATGTTTGGGGTTGAAAGGGGGTAAATTGTAAAGATGCTATTTAATTCATTGGAGAGAAATATTGTGATATATTAAGTTGGGGTATTATATATACATGGCTAAAAAGTTAAAAATGGTTAAAACCAAACGTTTTCGGTTGTTTTCCATCATCAGGGTTGATGATGGCAAACAGCCAAAAACGTTTGGTTTCAACCTTTTTTAACTTGTTAGCCTTGTAGATAAAATATTTCTTATTAAGCAAACATTATGGACATCTTAAGTTGGGGTGTTTTTAAAGTTGAGTGTCACTCTCTAAACCACCAATTTCAATAAACACAACTCTTGCATGCAAAGTGTGCATGTGTTGAGGATCCTAAAATGGATTTGCTTGAAGTAGTGTGAGCCAAATAACAATTTCAATGGTCCAAAGAACCATCCCAGAGAATTGTGATAACATCGATTCTTTGGTTCTTCTAATTCATTGGTTGAAGCTGATTGACAATCACTTGCCATGACTGGTGTAACTTGACTGCAAATGTAAGCTTAACTGCCAAAACTTAACTACACTTGCAACCTATTGAGCTTAACAGTTCATCAAAATTTGACACAAATGGATGTTTCCTGCCAGATTTTGCCAGGAAAAAGTTGCAAGTTGGTTCACAAATCAGCTTTACACCCATTTCGAGATCACACAAAGCTGTTTTTAATGTTAGTCATTGTTGACAGATATAATCACATCTAAATATACATCATTTACCTTTCCTAAAAAGGTCACCTGAATTGAAAGCACTTTAATTTCTAGTTCCCAGTCTCTTTTGTCCATTTCATATACAAGTGAAATTAGACAGACAAGGACCACGAATCAGTTAATAGTGCCATGTCCTTGCCAATTTATCACAATTGGGTAGTGTTTTTTTTTTGCCTAAAAAAGCAATTTTTACTGCATGTTAAAGTCTACTACTACTGGTCTTAGTCTTTTTTAACCATTTCGGGTTCTATGGTAGTGTTTCTGAATTGTGTTCACGTGTGACATCCAGTAACTGAAAGAAAAAAAGGGTAAACGTAGTTCCTTTCCATTCAAAAGAAAAAAAAATGGTTTTTTATTTCTGTTGAGTAGGTATCCCTAGTGACACTTACATATCTGTATGAGTCAGAGTAACCGGATCAAAATCGTCTTATAATACTATAATTTTTAAAATGAAAATTTTAAAAAAAGGAGGCTGCACTCTGTGTTAGCCCTTGATTAGGCAAGGCTTTGCGTATGAAGAAACTAGCAAACAAAAGTCGGTGTGTGATTAACGGAATAAAGGAAAATGAAAACAATCCACAACAGTTTAACTGACAAACTCGATCGCCATTTGTCCCTTGCCTGTTCCATCTTTCCATGTTGCCCCTAAATGTTATGAAGCAACAGCCATGAAAATTTGTCTTCATAGAGCCCAGGACAATCTAAGAAAAAAAAATTATTCCATCTCCATTGAACAAGAAATCATGCCTAAATGTAACTCAATTTTACAATCAAGAATGCACATCTGACTCAGTGAGTAAAACATTGGAAATATTTAACGATTGGTTCATGCTTTAGCGTGCACTATCGAGTTATGGAGCACGCGGGAGATTTGGAGAGCACGAACGAAGCGTAAGAGTTGCCCGAGGCGATAGCCGAGGGCAACTCTAGCTTCTTGAGTGCTCTCCAAACTTCCCACGTGCTCCATAACTCGATAGTGCACAGCTGAAAGCATGAACCAATTGTTTTAGAACATAGCCGGTGGAATTGTGCATCAAAATCCGACGCGAAAAACGGACAACAATATCAGTTGAAGCGAATCGTGACGGCGCTGATGCCGAGTCTCCTTTTCCTTTGTTTTTCTCTTTTTCTGCCTCATTTAAGAACTCTAGCCCAAGGGAAAAGGTCGAAACATTGTCTTCGTTTTCGGACTAGTAGGCCGAGTTTCTGTTTGTATCCATTATTGTCGCGAAATGTATTATTTTTCCCCGCGCTAACAATGGCCGCTCGCGCGAAAATAAAAAACTTTCTGGCGAAGTCGGATTTGGTGACGCTATCAGCGTGCACTATCGGGATTTTGAGCACGCTTACGTACAATGAATTTGATTGTGCGACTCTGCTAGCTATGTTCTAATCAACTGTAGAGGTCACTTGGTCAAAGCGTTTCCTTTAGTTGTTCGGTCTGTCCTTAGAAACAGAACCATACATAACCTCCTGTCTTTCAAGGCTTCAAGGTTGTCATATTGATCAATATATTTCAAAATACGTCGAAGAGAATTTATCATTGTTCTTTCAACGCTAATTTACAAGCATCTGATTTTTTTTAATGTCGATCCAAAAAACTTTTCAAATTAGTTCAATGCATTAACAAAGTCAACTGAACTTAAAGTTATAACTTGCTTAAGTGTTACCATAAACGCCATCAACCAACATTTAAAATCCTCAGATAACAAGGCAAAGTCTTACGGCCTTCCTTTCTATGTGCTCTGCAAGATTTTGAAGACGACGAATTCGCACGCTATCAGGTTTGCCTGCGTTAAAAACACGATAAAGATGAAAAGCGTCCTGGTGAGCAAGCGCAAATTGAAGTTCCTGAACCGACAGTTCAAAGATATCTTTTTTGTCAAAGGAAGTTGTCTTCACTTCAACATATGTTAGTACTGGGTGGCGATCGTCGCCTCCTCTAACACCATTTCGTCGAATCTCGATGTCGTAAGGCGCAGTTGTGTTTCCTTTTTCGTTAATCCAGACAATTTCCACTGAAGCAGAGGGCTCACATCGCGCTTGCTCCCGAAGAAACTCAAAAACATACTGTTCACCCCATCGACCGATTTCTTCGTTAGTAGGGTTCTTCATCAACGGAATTCCGTGTAGGCTTTTCATTTTGTCATTAATGGGCAGATCTTCGTCGTCGAAGTCAGACGGCCCTCTATCAAACCAGAAACGCACGCCCCTAGAAGTGTGCCTGGTTACATCTCCAGGGATGGTGACTGCAGACTTTTTTCCAGGCATGGGCATTTGTAGCGGAGGGGGTTCGATATGCTCCACGTTGTGGATAAGGCTCTTGTCACTGGGAAATAAATCGTTTACTGCCTCAATAGCACTCAGCTGTGATTCATTCACCTTTGCTCCCTCAACCATTGTCTCAGCTGGCTGGTGGTAATCCTTTGAAGTGTGTTGTGGGATGGGAGTAACCGTGGCAAGTCGTTCCTGCTTTGACTTCCTTTCATCTCTTTCCTCGGACTTTCTTGGCACTCGTGCTGCTTTTGGAGGTTTATCTACAGATTCAGGAGGTGCTGGCACTGGCCAAATCTTGAGCCTGGGGTCACTTCCGGATTCTCCTTTACGTTTACACTCCTTACCATAATTACGAAAAGATCTTGGTGGCCAGGAACGAAGACCATTGTTACCTGACCTAGATTGGGCTTGGGTTTTCTCATGGAAAGGAACATCTTCGTATGTAGTACTTCTTTCACTTTCATCCTTTTCGGGTTCCTCCGGAAGTGGAACACTCCACCGTTCTTCTCCTTCCGGTAATGGTTCCAACCCTTGCACGTCCTCCAAAAACCCTTCGAAATTGTCCCCGCTGTGAGTTTTCACTGCAACTAGAAAGTTGATTAACTCTGAGGAGCCTTCCTTCTTTCCTCCTAATAACAGTTTCGCCATCTCAGCATTTAAAACATCTGCACTGTCTTGATGTTCTTGCACAACAAAAAAACAGTACGTGATTCCTGATTCCTGTAAGCCAGATGTTACTTTAAGGGGTCTAGTAATGTTGGAATGCGTGGTTAACGAGTACACAGTTTCCACGCTTTGAACGGAGGCGAACTGCATGTGTAGCAGTTTCTCTGCGAAGCCTTCATTTTTCAGTTTATTATACGCCGATGGGTATTTTGAGCGTAGGAAACGTTGCATGTATGGAATGTTTTGATGAAAGTACTTCTGCACGGAAGTGCACTGGTACTTCACTGAACCAATGGGAACCAACTCTTTCTTTACGCATCCACTTAACGCTTTTACTTCACAGATCTTCAAGAACAACGAAACAAAGTGCTCCATCGTGTTTCTGTTGAATTGAGGTTTAAGTGCACTAGTAGACGAGCCACGCTTTTGAGGTTGAAAGGAGTCTCCCAGGTCCAGAAAGTGGATAGATTTTTCTTTGTGAAAAATCTTCAGCATAGTCTGATCGTCAGCTATCAGTGGCTGATCCGAAAGTGCCACCCATTTGTCAGATGTAGGGAAGATGCATTTCCGTTCTCCTTGCAGAGATTTTTTCACAAAAGTGGCTATATTTCCATGGATCTCCTCTTCATCTTGCATGCTGCTGTTAAGGCTTAGCGAAACACACTTACTTCCTAAAGTTCGGAAGATCTTTAACATATCGCTCAAAGACGAAGGAGTTGGAAAACCAGCAACGTCAGCGACAGTCGTCGCCATTTCGATGTATTCGTCCACATTGGGCGTCACGTCCACGTGTATTTGATCCAAGAAAAAACTTTCAAGACTCTGATGACTTTTGGGACCACTACATGCATAGAAACTCTTCAGTATGCGTCTTGTGGGAACCTTGCCATACTCCTTAAACAGTTTCAGGGATACATCTGTCGGGTCTTCCCAGCACACTTCTTTCTTAAAAAGAAATGATCCCGCTACTTTGCATTCTGGCCGGCTTAGAGGAAACTTCAGATGGCGATCGTGACGAGGAACGAATATAAGCGCGTTCTTCAGAAAAGCGTCAAATATTTTCTTCCTTTCTTCATCACTTTGTGACATTTTCTCAAAGAGGAAAGAATAAACTCTGATTATATGCGCAAAAGAAGTTGTGAAGTATTTTCGACGATTTCCATCCGTCTGTTTGTCGCAACCATCTGACCACTTCCTCATCTCACTAATCATCCCATCTACGCCAATAGATTGTCGGATGCCTAAAGCGCTCACCAACGAGGGGCTCTTTAAATCTGCGGCAACGTAATTCACGTGATCCTCAAGCAGGTGATATAGAGCGTCAGTCTTTGCGAAGAGGTCTCTTGGAAGATACAGGTTCGTTCCTCCGACATTTGAGGGCACCCATGGTTTCGAGACGAGATTGAGGTAAAATGAAGATTTAGTCTCTCCTAGTACATGGCCATTTATATCTTTGACTTGTACAGAGCCCTCAGCAAACTGTGCGTACGTGTGATCCCAACGTTCATCAATACACTGAGCCAAGAATGTTGACTCGTCGCTGCTGACCAGTTGTTTGGCGTCGGGGGAGGTAGTCTTACTGAGAAATTCCTCAAATTCTTCACACGACCAGTCGTCAATGATGAAAAGATCATCTGGAGTTATCTGCCAAATTTGCTCATACGACTCCCATGGAGAGCGAGCCTAGAAAACAGAAACAGAATAAAACTTTCTACTTTGTTAAACATATTTAAAAACTGTAGTACACCCGACAGCGTTTTTCTATTGAACCAGCGAGCTGTTATCACTATCATATTGGGATCACATTGGACTTCAGATCTGCAGGCCCGTGTTCATTTATTGACATTGCGTCAAATAAAAACAAACAACGCCAATAAATCTGCCGAAATCCATCCCAAAAAAACTTTTCGAATACGTCTAAGACGGACCTAAAGTTAGAGAGCGTCCATTATTCATTTCCGAGTGAGTTAACCACAACTGTCTCAGCTCACCATGTGTTTTCTATGTAGTTTTACTTGCTTCTTTTCAATGGCAAGAAACTGTTTTAAGCCAAGGTCGTCAACAAAAGCTTTCCAATCCCTGGTGCGAACCCTCGATGTAATACAATAGTCCAAGTAAGATTCGTCAATGATTGTCCACGAGATACCTAAACGGAAGAAAAGGAGATGATATCTGACTTTCTGCGGAGTGACTTTAACCAAGCTACTTGATAAATTGAAATTAGACATACCCAAGTCATATTTATGCGAGGAAATAAGAACGACATCCAACACACTTAGAAGAGCGCCTCTGAGCAACAAGAAGAGAAACATCACAATGATTACAGGTGACTTACTGGGTAACTGCCGAGCGAGGTCAATTGTGCTCCCATATTTCGGGGTTAAATGAATCGGCGTTGATTTAGGGTTCAGAGTACCCTTGTTCGTTAAAATCCGTACGCAGGATCTCAATTCATCCATATCACACACAGAAGGGTCGTCCAGGCGCTCTTCCAAAATGTACGCCAGGTAGCTTCTTAATACTTCAGTAGACTTGCACTGTAAATCAGCATATCCGTGTTAGTAATGATTCATGACCCCTACTACCTGAGAACTGTGCATAAAAACCGAACCAATCAGTCCCAGAAGAGAGCAGTATTTCTCAGGGCTACGATGCATGAAGCGCGAAAACGAAGGGCGAGAGGTTTGGGATGGTATCTAAACTCTAAGCTGTACGCTGTTTGTTTTTCCGGTTTCATATTGTTTTATTTTCAGAAAGAATCCTCAAAATATACCGGCTACGCAGACTTGTTTGAATAAGTGATTACACAGACACACGTTCGATGACAAGACAAGACGACCACAAAAAAAAACTTAAGGATATCGCAATTTTACGAAGCAAAATGAAGACTGGCATGGTAGCTTTTGTGTCCAGCGGTGTGTTTCATATCACCCTCAACGTATATGAAGAGGCATGCGTGTCATAAAGCACACTTACAGGATGGTACGCCATCGCAGAACAGAACTTATAGCTGCGCACTCCTCTTGAATTTGAAAGTAAGAAGAGAGTTATTCTACAACTATCATACCTTCCACTTCTTTGACTTGAACACAGGGATAATGTGATTGTTGACAACTTCTTTGGGAGTCCACATCTTCACTCCTAGACGCCTTAGAAGCTCTTCGACTTGAGAACGACCGATATCATCTAGTGAGGATAACAGCGATGGGTGTACCGTGGTCACGTCTTTCGCAAGCACAGATAAGAAAGTTTTCTCCTGATGCATAAAACCTAGAAGTATAGAAGTCCCAAAGTATTTGCCATTGACAGCAATAACTTCTAAATGATTTTCCATCAATGGGTAATAGATAGTACTAAGGTCAATGCCATTTATACTCCCTGCGTGTAACATGTTTGTCAGGTTCGTTTTGGGTAAAACGATACTATCATGCAGACGTTCTTATGATTTTACCAACTTTCGTTTATTTCCCTGTTATTGACACTTTCTGGGGCGTAGAGCACACTTTCAGTGGAGGAAATTCTGAAGATAAAGTTCTTCGATCATCTTAAGGTGATTCCTCAGAAAAAAAAGTTATCGAACAATTTTTTAAAACTTTTCTTAATGCTCCCTACCAATTTACGTCTCGAAAAACATAGTGAGAGATAGGTCACCGTTCTTGTTTATGAGATGCGATGGGCCAAACTTAACTCATTTATGCCTGAACTGGCACTGATCACGCGCGTCACTTAATCGGTTCACGGTATATTTTGCGGGAGCCGGAACCAAGGGATTTTACAGACAGTAACACCAAAATAACTTCCTCGGGTCGTTGCTTTCAAGGTCATGATTTGCATCCACGACTAAAGTGCACGCTTTAAACTATTTTTCCCTTCGATGAATTTTACTAATTTCTCCAATTTAAGGGAGATAGTTTGTACACCAAAATCATGCCATAAAAATAAGAGGTCACCGCGTTCGTTCAAGAGCTCAAGATATGAACCTCTTCCCTAACAACGGAGGGTATAAAGGACCCACCTTTGTTTTTCTCTGGCACAGCTCGCTCGGATGTCTTTTTCCTCAACAGCGGAAGGAAAATGGAATCTTCCTTCACGTTCACGAAAGATCCATCCATTAGGGGGATCATGTCAAGAGAACCAATAAGATCTAGCATTTCTTGACTGGTATTTCTTTCTTGCTCGAGAGATCGATACATGCACCGGAACCAGCCAGCCACCCAAGCTATCCTCACAGTATCCGGTTTGCGGTCATTGCCATGCGATGCACCTTTTGAAGTTTTCTTTACTTCCGCTTTTGCAATATCTATCAAGTGCCTGCTGGACAAAGTCTCAATTCCAAGACGAGATCTCAAAGTCGGGTTTAGCGCTGGAACCATTTCCGGGTGAAGGTAACGCAATCCTAAGTGCTCCTCCAGAAGAGTAGAGGGTATAAGCTCTTGTATGACGCTGTCTTCGCAAACAATGGCCTGAGAAGGGAGAACTAAATCGAAGCTCTTTCCACTGTGACCTCCGTTCGGCTGCTCAGTTTCACTGCAGGAGCTCTTAACTGGGATACAAGATTTCCCTTGAAGGAGTGTTAAAATAAGGCGAGCAACCGGTGTAAAGAAGTCGAGAATTTCTTCCTCAAGAGGTACAAATTGAAAATACGTAACCAACGACGAAAGGCCACAAAAAGAAGAATGTTCCTTCAAAGAAAAGAAAACGTATCTTTTACTTTAGAAGTAAATGATAAATGCACGACATTGCATGTAGACCATGGCAAATTAGAAGGTACTTTCTCAAAAAAGATTCTCATGGATGATAGCTGCACAGCTCCTATATTCGAATTAGCACAATCAAACTGCAATTTTTCAGTTGAAGAGTATTAACACATTTCAATATTTTTTTTATTCTATGTACCAGGTTATAAATTTAAGTTTTTGCCAGTGGGACGAAAAAAGACAGCTAAACAAGACGACAAACCATAGTCCATTTAGCGTGGATCGCTGCCCCGCATATACATGTAAGAAAAATGAAGATCTTCCGTGCTTGTAAAATGGACTTTGGAAGAGCTAAAGATGAGAGATCCATGGTTCTAAATCGTTAAAAATTTGATAAGTCCTTGATGATAACGTGTTTCAGTTTCATTATGCACTTCTCTTGGAATTGTATTTTCGAGTTACTCCGATCACAAGTTCACACAATCAGAGTAAAGTACAAGCAGCAACATATCTCAATGCAAAATAATTTTTACCCACCATAAATACTGACATAGCGTCAATAAAAAGTTGGGGAATTTCCTCTCTCAGCCACTGATTCCAGGATTTATCACTGTCTACATCTTCTCTGGACGACGGAACCTCAAAGTCACCTTGAATGATGAATCGAAAACCATAGTTTCTGAGTGGGAGATACGCAAACACATTCTGTGGTGGTAATGCCTGTAAAAGGTAAAATGTACAATACTTAAGCTGGTCCTCGAAAAATGACACTCCCGTACGAACCTCAGAATAAATTGGTGGATTGATTGAATGATAGATAGATGGATAACTAAACAGATAGCTAGATATAAAGATATATAAGAAAATGAATAGATGTATAGATAAACTAAAGATAGATACAGACAGACAGATAGATTGACAGACAGACAGATAGGTAGATAGACAGACAGACAGAGAGACAGATAAATAAATAGACAGAGAGATAGATAGAGAGATGGATAGCTAGATAGATAGATAAATA